CCTCTAAGGTTTGTGTTGGAGTTCTTGAAGATGAGATTTAGAGAGAGAGAGAGAGAGAGAGAGAGAGAGAGAGTCATATTAGGTGGAAGAGTTGTGACTAAGTAAGGAGGCTATGGGATCAGAATCTCTACTGTTGCGAGGAGTAAGAGGGTGAAGGTAAATCTGCTGTATTGGAAAGTAGAAGGAGAGAATCTAGGCTTGGAAGGAAGATCTTGTAAAGTTCATTCTCCACCTAAAAATTAATAAGGGATTCTTAGTCTTGTTGGGTACAAAAGGAGTCCTTATTAGTGGGATTTCTAAGGAGAAGGAATTTGAGTGGACATAGGTCAAGTTGATTATAAAAATCCTTGTATTGACCCCCTGAGGCTTAGCTCATATTATATTATCTTGATAATCATAAATTAATTAAACTTAATTGTTAATTGGATAATTTTAGTCTAATACACTAGCAGAATTAACAACCACCAATGTATACAAGGATGAAATAAAAATATGTTGGGTGATAATGAAACTAGGATGATAGAAGAAAGATTATGAATTTAAATGATAAGGCAAAATCCATGAAATTAAAGTTAAACTTCAAGATAAGTCATGGATTACCCAATAACAAGGTGATACTATTCATGTCAATAATTACATTTTTATTTCTTTAGTACTCCATTTGATTTTCGAAGTAAAGGAATTATGAAATAATGAGCACACACACATGAGAGTAAGCGACATAAATAGTTAAGAGCATTTAAACATAAGAAAATATATTAATCTCTAATAAATTGTATTATACGATCTATATCATACTATACAATTTAGATCATTCAATACAACATGAGTTGGTAAAAGAATTAGATAAGATCAATTTGTAATAATTAAAAAAATCATAAATTAATTATCATGAACTAATATATTATATGATGCAAATCATATTTAACAATTAAACCTAATTTTAATTTAAATTATCATGGCAAGGCTATTTTTTTTAATTAGATTAATTCAAAACTTAAATTAATCATACCATATGATGCATATAATATTGCACAATCAATTCTAAATTAATCTAATTAAGCTATACAAATTAAGAGGTTAATTAATGCATATCTATCATTACTAATAATACAATACTATGAAAATCATATTTGATGAGAAAGTAGAAATAGGTTCTTATACTTTTTTATTATTTGAATTAATCGTACTATATGATACTTGGATCGTTCTATAAGATTGACCCTTTGCAATTTAGCTAATTTTATGCAGGAGTTATTACTTGTGTTCAAACACAAGGTGGTTTGACCAATTATTTTCTTATTTCGGTTGGATTACATCAATGATCAACCTTAAGTCCATATCTTTTTGCTTTAGTCATGGATGTTCTGACTAGACATTTGCAAGAGGATGTACCTTGGTGTATGCTTTTTGCTGATGATATTCTTCTTAGTGATAAGACTAGAGAGGGAGTTGAAGGTAAACTCGAATTATGGAGGTCAACTTTAGAGTATAAAGGTTTTCGCTTGAGTAGATCTAAAACTGAATATATGTAGTGTAATTTTAGTAGCAATAAACCTAGTGATGTGATTGTGACTTTGGGTGATCAAGTCATTAATAAGAGTATACGTTTTAGATATCTTGGATATATTGTTCAGAGTGATGGTAAAATTGATGGGGATATTATCAGAGAATTCAAGCTGGATGGTTGAAGTGGAGGAATGTATCAGTCTTATTGTGCGATAGAAAAGTCCCTCTCAAACTTAAGGAAAAATTCTATAAGATGATGGTGAGACCTGCAACGCTTTATGGTGCCGACACTACGGGAAAACACGCGAATATCGTCGGATTTTCCGGCGGAAAATTCTGGACGGTAATAAACGGCGCAGTTACCGGCGGATTTGCTCGACGTATAGTTGTCAACCTTTCCGGCGCAAAATACGTCGTAAATTCACCGACGCATGTTCCGCCGGAAAATCCGACGGTATAGGGATGCCTGAACCATTTCCGTCGCACGTTACGGCGGAACTTTTCCGGCGTATGTTACCGGCGGACATTGCGCCGGCGTATTTAAACTCAACGAAATATATCCGACGGATTAGACGTCGGAAATGATACCGACGTCACTAGTGTCATTACCGGCGGAACGTCCGCCGGTAAAAGACCTATTTCGCGAACCCGAACCCCTCTGGCCGTCATTTGTTTCCTTCCATTCTCTCACTTCGACTGCTTCGCCCATCGCCCTCCGTCGCCGTTCGTTGCTCGCCGTGGTTAGACATCGCCGACGGTCACCGGACTTCGCCGTCGACGGTCACCGGACTTTGCCGAGCCTCCTTCCTAGTCGCGCGCCGCCTCTCTCCTTCCTAGTCGCGCGCCGCCGAGGAGATAACCGAAGGTTTTTGTTTTCAATTTTTTTGCTATTTCGGTTGGATTACATATAGGATTAGCCTTAAGTCCATATCTTTTTGCTATAGTCATGGTTGTTATCATTAGACATTTGCTAGAGGATGTAGTTTGGTGCATGCTTTTTGTTGATGATATTGTTCTTGTTGATAAGACTAGAGAGGGATTTGAAGGTTTTTGTTTTCAATTTTTTTTGCTATTTCGGTTGGATTACATATAGGATTAGTCTTAAGTTCATATCTTTTTGCTATAGTCATGGTTGTTATCACTAGACATTTGCTATAGAGAAATTAAAAAGATGCCAAATGAGTGAAGGGCACAGGTTCAAGCTCAGCTGCAAGCACAGGTTCAAGCTCAGTCACAAGCTGATTGGCAAGCTCAGCTGCAAGCACAGGTTCAAACAAGTATTCAGCAACACAATCAGTTGTTGGATGAAAAGCGCAAGATGAGGGAGCAGCTAAGTGGAAAAGACGTAGCTCCACCTGAGGAGGAGTCCACGGAGTCAGAGTAGTTTAATTTAGTTTATATGAACTTGTTTATTTCTGTGAACATGTTTTATTGAACAGTTTCTTTTAATGTGATGTTTTTAGTTGATTGTTAGTACTGAACTGTTTCTTTTAATGTTATAAACTGTTGTGAAACTGTGGTGAAATTGTTGATATGTTGTAATGTTACAATTGAAATGTTGTAGAATTGATATTTGTATAGGTTTGCAGGTGTGGAAATTTGATTGTTGGCTGGGAAGGAAATATTTTTTTTGTCAATGCTCCAGGTTTCCGGTGGATTTTGCGCCGGAAGTTCGCCGGAAACGACGATACAACGAATCATATCGTATGTACCGTCGTCTTTGTTCTGTCGGAAATTACCGGCGCACAGTCCGCCGGTACGTACCGGCGTACAATTTGCGTCGCAAACGAGTTCGTGGGGTTTCTACGCACACTTTGTGTCGTCTTATCCGCCGGTAATGGCCGGCGCATAATGCCACGCTAATTACCGGCGGATATGGCACCGGAATCAAGACGTTTTTCAACGTCGAAAATGAACCATTTTTTTGCCGGTAGTTCGTCGGAAACTGCGCCGGAGAAATTTCCGACGCAAAATTAGCACCGGAAATAATTTATCGACGCGGCCGAAACCGGCGTATGGATTTCCGCCACAACGTGCGCCGGAAACGTATATTTCCGTCGGAATATCTATGTATTCCGGCGGATTTCGTCCGCCGGTAATATGGGGTTTTCCTGTAGTGCGAATGTTGGCCATCAAAAGAGAAGCATAATACTAAGGTAAGTATAGCAGAGATGAGGATACTTAGGTGGATGAGTGGCTTGACCCATAGAGATAAGATACGAAATGAGCATATACGTGAAAAGGTTGAAGTAGCTCCAGTAGAATATAATATTAGAGAGAGACGCCTTAGATGGTTTGGTCACATTAAACGGAAGTTTTCTGATGACCTGGTTAGGAAAGTTGAGGTAATAGATTTGACTTATGTTAAGAAAGGTAGGGGTAGACCTAAAAAGACTTGTTTAGAAAATATTAGAAATAATCTTTTTTTATTAGATTTAAATGAGAATTTGACTTTTAACCAGACACAATGACAAAAAAGGATTCATGTAGCCGACCCCACGTAGAGGGACAAAGGCTTAATGTCGTTGTTGTTCTTCTTCTTCTTCTTCTTTGGGCATTTTATATAAAACCTCTTCTAGAGACCAAAAAAAAAAGAGACTAAAAAATTAGTAAGAGAGAGTGCCTTGTGGGAGATTTCCTTGTGCTTTTCATTTAATGACTCTAAATGTGAAAATCCCTTTGTGAACTTGTGCAATAATTAATTATTTCACTTCTTTTATACTATTTTTTTGCTTTGATGTTTATTATTGAGTGTTGATAGTTGTTATTTGATTGAGCTTGTAAGAGATAGATGAGATCTTGAAACTTTTCTAAGGTGTAAACTACCTGATGGGCTAGAGCAACAATTTTTCTTGCTTTGAGTATACGAAGAGGGTGTCAAATTTCTCTATTATCAAATAAAGAGAGAGTGAGAGACTGCTCTAACTGGTGGTGGCTGAATGAGAGAGTAGTAAATCTTTGTGTTAAAGTGCTCAAGGTGTAAACATAGTCAATATTGCCAAACTGAATGATGCATTTGAGCAACTGCATTTATTGAAGATGAACAAAATAATTAGTGCTTCGGTTTACTGTGGAGGCTTTACTAGTGGTCAAAATCCGTGCAAAATGAGAGTTTTAACGGTGGTTTTCAAACCACCTGTAAAAATCGCTGGGAAAAAATTCATGGCGATTATAATGCTGAGGAGAGCTACAAGCCAGCCACAATATGGCGATTTATCTTTAGTTCACTATTCTATGGTAGCTTTGATACTGGAAAAGATTAATCTAGTTCTAAAGTATATGTTCTATTGTAACCTCCGAAAATTAAAAAAAAAAAATTGTGTAAACACAAAGGGAGCATTGACGCTGATTCTGTTTGGAAAAGGCCGTATGGAAAGCTATCATCAATTTGTTCCTAAGGTCTGATTATTATTTAAGCATACAAATTCCTTCGAATTAGCAAATCTAGAAAAAAAACTTCTGAATGCATCATATGAAAACAGCAACAACTACAACAGAAGCATCTTTCACCCAAAAAATAATAGTCAATGTTGGTGCCTACATCACATCATCAACAAAAAAAACTAATAAATAGGCATAGAAGTTTGCAAAGTTAAGCAATAAAAACTAGTTCAATACCCACATTATTAGCAAACATTACAAGATACTCAATAGATATGCTTATAGATACGGCTTAACTATACATACCCCTACAAAACAGTTCATGGCGATAGATTGCAATGTCACAAATTTAGTGATAACCAACTGGAGCCGGTGCCTGCTTCAGGTCCATACCCTGATAATGAACGTCCTGGGATCCAAAAAGTTTTAATTAGACTGGGCAGTTAACTTCATAGAACTAGAAATTAAATCCAATCCATTGATGAGTGTCAAATTATGACATAAAGGAGTTGTCCAAGCAATTTGGTGCTAAGATTAGGCTTTGATTGCTTAATGGGAGTAGTAGTTTTAAACTGGTCTAGCTCACTCTATGTTTGGGTGCTGGAAAGTTAATTTAAGCAAAGGTAATTTGTGATATGGGTACAGGGAAAAAAATCAGGTGTTCATATTACTAATTTACTAGAGATTATTCTCTGCGGACATCGGACGAGAAAAATCATCTGGATTTGCCTCTGTGATCAATAAAAATGCACTATGAAGTACTTTTATTGTTTGCAGGGACAAATCTGACAGTTCTTCCGATTCGATGCCCGCGCACAGAATAATTCATCATATTTTAAGCCATAGATCCCTTAAAATATGATAAGAACCAAAGATATTGGTACAGCATAATAGTAAGTTCGATCAATCACTTTCCACATTCTGCCTATCAGCTGTTGATTTGACATGAAATAGAAAATCACTCAAAAACATCTACTTCGAGAACAATCATTGAAATCCAGAAATGCCTGCTAGTTTCTATCAGGACTGGTTTCCTTTACAATTAACAGTTTTAAGCCAAACTAAACAGGATCACTACAATAAGGACCTTACGATTAAACCAATAGTAAGGAATGTTAGAAGCAAAAGAGACAATCGAAACGTCATATACATACCGAAGCAAAGTGGTTGACGTCACGGTGATGAGCCTCGTCGGCGCGAACAACCATGACGACGTCTCGCAGCGTTGCGTCCGGTGGCAGGCGCCAGTAGTCCTTGGCGATCATCGGGGCCGGCACGTTCTCAATGTTACCATTGTCGAGCTCCTTGAGAAACTCAGTATAAGAGTGGATAGCCTCCTCTTCAAGGTAGCCAACAACGCGGTGAGCGAATTTGGGCGATAAAAGGTAGCCCACGAAATAAGCATTGAAGAAAATTCCCTGCACTGTAATGACAAGGGCTCGTTCATACCACCGCGGCTGTGTGACTTCCATGAAGGTCATGAGATGCATTCTTTCGTTCTCGGCTTCCTCGAGCAGGGCGCGAACCCACCCGCCACTGTGCTCGAAACGGCGAAGTGAACGGAGATGGAGGAGCATCCCGCCGACCATTCCTGGGACTGCTGCGACGGTTTCCAGCATCATCGCCCGGCAACCATATCTCCTCTGCGTCAGGGAAAGTAAGATTTCGAATTATTGTCGCCAAAACATGGGAAAATCTTTAATGATGGAAAAAATATAAGATCAGGGTTCTTACCTGGAAGAATATGTCGGTGGGAACCCGGAGAAGCTTTACCATCCAATAAGCAATTTTGTCCAAAAACACAGTCGGAGCGTGGTGCTTCTTAAGATCGATCGTCGTATCAGACATATACGTATCCCATGGCTATTTCAACAGGAGAAGTTTACCATCGCTAGGATTAGTATCGATTCATTAAAGAAAGACCAACAAACTGACAAGGGACTCGATTTACCCTAAAGCAGGACCATCGCCACTCGGACCCATCCTCCTTGAAGAGCCTGCGAGGCGCGACGCCCCAATAGCTCGTCATCTGATTCGAATCAGAAGGATTCGCGGCGGCAGAGGCTTTCCCTTCCGATGATTCATCATCGTTCCCACCGACTGATGCCGTGGCTGCGGATGTACTGGCCATCCGCACCGGTAAGAACCTCACAATCGTTGCCGATGCGGCGGAGGATGATCTGGATCCAAACAACATATCATTGAACTGAGCACCGGAAACCGCGCGCACCACCGCCACGGACGACGAATATGTGGAGGACATTCGCAGGCCTAGTTGCCGCACCAGAATCATCGATCCGCCGACCCGAGACGGCATCATCGTTGGGCTTTGAGAAGAGATTTGGGGCAGAAGTTGACGGAACCAGGAAATTTTGAGGGCACTTTTTTTTTTTTTTTTTTTTTGTTAACTTTTTCGCAGGTTTTAAGCATAGGAAATGCGTTGGGGTTTTATTACAGAAGCGGGAAGAGAAGGTGTTTTTTCTTCCGGTCAATTAGGCTGCTCGAATAAGCACACCGCCGGCACACGAACATGATGGCTCGATGACGTCACCTATTTCCACACGTTCAAAATTTTGTTGGGTGTTATTTTTCAACCATTTATTTTCCAAAAAATTGGGAATCTTCCGATATTAACTTTCCCAAACATCCGGGTCAAAATTTCATATACAGAAAAAACAAATAAATTTTCAAAGTTTTTGAAATTACGCAAAAGTCCATGTTCGTATGAAAAAAATTTAAAGCAAAACAATGTGAAACTCAAGCTTCGATAATAATTTATTTTTAAAGGTATATTATACGAATAATTAAGATACACCTCCTAAAATAAATTTATCATTTTGAATCTATCAAAATTTGCAAATTAAAATTTCAATATTTATTTATAATAATATGAGTACTATAAGAAAAGCTACAAAAAAATAATAAAAGTACAACAATTTATGTCTCATAATATAGACTGTCTTATAAACATATCATTCTCTATCTAGCTTGAAGGATGATTGCATCTTCATTTTTAATTTGAGGCAACTTCTCTTGTGTTGATTGTGTAGATGCGAGTAGTTGCAGGCAAGCTTGCTTGTTGAGGACCAACTGATGAGGCTATGGCAGGCAAGTACTTTGACATTATTGGTCTCCTTTGAAGAAGCCTAGATTTAATGTGATGTGGGAGGCAAGTATGTTCAAATGGCGGGGGTAGTAGGCTCCATGATACAGCTTAATGTGATGAAGCAAGCTGGAGCCCCCTTATAAAGATCATTTCCTGGAGTTGAGATGATGAGTATTGTTGATGATATTCTACCGTAAGTATTGACGAGTTGCTTGTGAGGGCACTTCTTGCTAGAGGACCAATCCCAAGTTGAGTGGTCCATGTGTACTCTTGGGCTTTTCATGTTGTAGGTGACTCTCCTATAAATATTTTATTGATTAAGGGAGTGATGGTGGATTCCCATTTCGAGTTCAATGACGTCTGAGTTCTTCTTGTATGCCCGTTCATTTTTTGTTAAATATCTAAATAGGCATATACGAGTAAACATTTAATTTCCCGATTCAATTGACCCTTTGAAGAGCAAGTGACAAAATAGACAAGTGAATTTATCGTGAGCACTTAATAAAGCTATGAAACAATTAAGGTAAAATAAATGCTAAGTTACTATATTTTTATTATAGCCTCAACTATCGCATAAATTCTTCATGATGATCATGATGTGACACCAATAAAAATCGGCTCCATAATAAGTAGTCTCGTGCATGAGCTTCTTTGATGAGTAAATAAAAAGGGGTGAATGTTAGCCCTAAAATTGTGAAGAGATCCATTTGGCCTATTGCCACTCCTCCCAAGAAGTGGATGAAGGTGGAGTTGATTGTGGGGAAGGCAACCACAACCCTGCCAATTAAGGTTATAGGTTTGCCAAAAATTATGGATGGGAGTGGATCCATAGCTAGAACATGGAGAGTGGCACTCTCCTCATGTTTTGAGGATGTACCCTTGACCATGAAGCTCATGAGGCATATTCACCTAGTGTATCAAAAAGAGGTTATAACCATAAAGGAGGTGGCCGCCATGGAGGTTACGAAAACCTCCATATAAGCTAAGTTAACTACTCCTCCAAAGGATGGACAAAAGAATTATTTGCAATCTCTAGATTATATAATGTTTGTAATTAAGCGTCTTCCGTCATTAATAAGCCCATTATAAGCCTCTCCTTGAGCAAGCTATTAGGTCATTGTCCAAGCGAGTTTGATGAGTTGGCATTAAAATAGTGGCGATTAGGCTTGTACTCTATGAAGATTTTTCTCCATAACTGACTATTAGAAGTTTATTTAAATTTATAAGGGTTTCTTTATTGTTAATCCTTCATTATTAACTGTATGGATGCCTCCTACAAGTAGCTTGCATGTTTGAGCCCATAGTTATGACAAAGCAAGCAGTGCAGAGCAAGCAGATTATGGAGGTTTCTACCGAGTAGAAGGGGAACCTACTTTAAAAGAGAACTTTGCCTCATTTTTTATTTTCATGTACCACACATAAAAGTTCTACATACAAATTTGTCAAAGTATTAAAATTCTTAATGTTTGGTATCTAGTTATCTATTCTATGGTGTAAGAGTTGTTCCGTCAAGATAGACAGAGAAACCATTGGCTTTGAAAAGTTAGTAGATTAGTGCTCGCCATGTAGGGTAGTTGTCCGCAACAAGTTGAATGTGGACAACATTTTTAATGTTTGAAACAAGGAACTTAAGGGAGGGAGGGATAGAAACTTCGGTTGTAAGGTTGGTAGTTGCTGCTGGTGTGTTGGTAGGGAGTTGGTTACCTCGGCCATGAATACCGATGAAGTTGTTAAGCTTTTATCTCTGATACCATGTTGGCTGATTCTTAACCTATACAAAGGAAAAATAAAGAGAAAAAGAAAAGTGAAAGGAGAAGTAGAAGATGAGATAGGAGAACTATTTTAGTAATCAAGCGCATCTACTGTGAGATATAGTATATGGATATATACACAAGAGCAGCTAAGTAAAAATACTAGAAAACAAACAATTGCCTCCTGAAGTTGATATCGCTGTAAAGGATAATATGCAAGTGGCTGCAGAAGTGTCAGATAGTGAAACAGAGGAAATCATAATAATAAGCGGTAGTGTGGAGCAGTGAAAAATGTGGGTGGTTAATGTACTGGGCAGAGCTGTTGGTTGTAGCTTTATCAATTGAGGTATCTTGCTTCATTGGTTGAGGTCGTTAACCATGGTCGAAGCCATTAGCATGGTGGTTGGAAATTTGACGAGATGGTCAATAGAGTTTTTAGAGGCCTCGAATAAAAACTGCTATCATAATTTATATCAGTTAAGAAAATTCTAATTTGAGAGACCGTAACTCATAAAGCTTAAGATGTTGGCCAATATCATAATAAACATGAAAGCGCTAAGGAGAATGTTGAGACAGCAGATGTGGAGCTGGAATGATAAGTTAGTCTTTGATGTTTTAGTTAATTGGGGACATCAATGAAGTACTTGGAAGTGTTAACACAATACGCCTAAAGACCTATGGCACACTCTCACTATCGTGCTCCATCCAGCTCACCACACAAACCCACTAGTCTAGCACTGCAGTCTGCCACCAACGGTCGCCTGACATTCTCCAACGAACTGTCTCTCTAAGCTTTATATATATCACTGTATCAAGTTATTCTTACCCACTGTGAATCAATGGAATTTCCATATCTCTCTATTTGCTTTGCTAACCCTTGAAGGTAACTTTCATAGTATCAGAGCGGTGACACTGGGCCGCCCCATTCTTCTCATCGCCATGACTAAACAAGCTGCCTCCTTGCAATCTCAGGCAACAGAAACTCTTTCTGCCTCAATGACAACAATCACTATACCTCCTACCCTCAAATTTCTGATGTCTAATCTCAAGCTTCTTATTCACACTCAGCTCACAGTGGAAAATTATGCCATATGGCATCTTCGGATCTTCCAAGCTTTGCCGCCAACGGCTTTTACGGATATCTCACCGGATCTCTACCCTACCCTCAAAAAACAGTTGATGCAAATGGAGTCAAGCTATGGAAACTGGTTGATCAGAACTTGATCTCGACACTCTTCTCCACAATCTAACAATTAGTTCTCCCCTACATTCTTCAACTGAAAACCTCTTGTGAAATCTGGACTGTGTTGGAGCTCCGTCTGCAGCCTACCAAACTTCTAAACTTGCATTTACTAGAAACTTCTAAAAAAATAGTTTTCTAAGATATCATCTTTAATGTTGGATGTGTTGGATGAATCTTCTTACCATTGCTGCGGTCAAGGTTATCACCCAATTCACATCAAATTCTAATAAAATTGATGCATCAATAGTTTATGTCAGGTCATTGACATAAATGACCATTTGAGGTTGGAGCAAAAAATTGTCCCCAGTCGAGAACCACATTCCCTCAGACGGCACCAAACTATTGCATCTTGGGGTATTCACAATGGTAGAGAAATATAAAGTTTAACATATTAGTTATGTATGAAGATCCAATACATAATCAATAAGAGAGAGAGAGTGTAGCATACATAAGAGACACCAATATTTTTACATGAAAAATCATGAAAATGGAGAAGCTACGGAGCATGGCCCAATTTGAATGAATCTATTAGTATTTGCAGTCAATTATAAATGAGTCCCTTCATTAGAGGAAAGGCCTTAGCTTTATGTAAAAAATATACATTATATATAATGCATTACATGGTGGGAATTTGAAGGAACAGTGTTGACAACTTCGTTTATTCGGTAGACCATAGTTGGTGAATGATAGAGGTTAGAAAAAAAAAATTATTGACTGGTGATGGAGGTAGGAAGGATCGTAGTCGATAAAGAAGGTCGGAAGGATCGTAGTCGTTGGAGACGAAGGTCGAAAGAACCGTAGTCAGTGAAGGAGGTCGGAAGGACTGTAGCTAATGGGCGATAGAGGTTGGAAAGACTGTTGTCAGCAGGTCACATTGGTCAGAAAGACCGTAGTTGATGAAGGAAGTCGGAAGGACTGTAGTCAGCAGGAGACGGAGGTCAGATAAGCCATTTTTTGGCGACGAAGGTCGGAAGGACCGTCGTCGACAAAGGTGGCCAAAAGGACCATATTTAGAGGGCAAAAGAAGTTGGAAAGTCCATTGTGAGCGGACGATGGATGTTGGAAGGACCGTAGTTAGCTGGTGATAGAGGTTGAAATGTGAAACTCCTTAAGTAAAAGAAGTTGTACTCTTAAACATCGAGGTGCCATTTGGTATGATGGTTGAAATTTTATTAAGAAATTCTGCAGTTAAGCATGCTTATCTCAGAGTAATTTTGGGATGGGTGACCTACTGCTGAGTTAAACCAACAGGATAAAATTGTGAGGCTCTTAGGCCAAAGCGGATAATATCTCGATAGATAAGAGTTTGAGTTATTTTAGGAAAGACTGTAGTATGACGACAAAGGTCGGAAGGGTTGTTGTCGGGTGGAAGTCCAATAATAATTGGAAGCCGGGTGGAAGTCGTGCATTATTGGTCGAGCAGAAGTCCAAAATCAGTTGGTGGTCGAGCAAAATTCCAGTGACAATTATGAGCTGGGCGGAGGTCCGACAAAAGTCCTACGACAGTCGGTAGCTGGGTGGAAGTCCAATGAGAAGCAAAAATATGGCGTCAGATAGAAGTTCGGTATAGGGCAGATGTCCAGCGTTGAGTAGAAGTCCGATATCCACAGTGGCCGGGTCGAAGTTCGATGACGGGAAGAAGTCAAAGATTAAGCATAAATATGACTGAAGTCCGATGAGTGGCAGTGGTTCGGCAAAAGTCCGGGCCATGATCAAGGAGGAGCTTGGTAGCAAGAGTGATCTCCAATTTCTCTTATTCTTCTCCTTCTCTTCCTTCTCTTCCTTTGGTCCCCTCACTTCCTCCTCTGGTCTCCCTCAATGAAGAATAAGGGTTCTATTTATAATTTTTCTGATAGTGGCATGACTGGTAAATAGGAGGGAGATCAATGATAAATTGAGAGTGGTTTGAATGGACGGTCGATGTTGAATCCCTTAATCGTAGAACATTTGATGGGCATTTGAACATCTTAATGGTATCATAATTTGATGATCTTGTGCTTGTTGGAATCGTCACGTCGAGCCGCTCGATTTGACTCTAAGCATGTCATGTTTGGAAATCGTTTCGTAATCCAGATTATGGTTTAAACCTTCCAAATATGCTTTGAGTCTTCGACTTTGACCTATTTCGGCTCGGATTGAGTCGAATTTGGTGTCGTTGTGTCTTTTTGAGACGTTCAATTCGACTATAAGTTTGTTGAAATTGAAGTTCATATGAAAATTTAATTTTTGAAGTTTCGAACTTTATTTTTCCTTCAAAAATGAAAATTCTTCTCAGTTCATATGAAAATTTATATGTTCCTTCAAAAATGAACATATGAAAATGCCCGATTAAGATATATTTTTTGATGATATATCGATTTCTATATTTATGTAACATTTTTATCATGTTTTTTGAGCTTTATCATAAAAAATCATTTTGTTAGGCACAACTTATTAGGTACAACCATTGGTCGCTTTGGTTAACTAATCCGTTTCCGCCTACCCGAAGAACGTCTGCGTAATGATCATTTTCGCGGCGCATGCCATATATATATATATATATTCTGCTGTTCAGACCACAACAGCAAATCGTCAAATGGTGCTTAATGTTTATAGAAAAAAATCTCAGGACATTTAAGTAATTTCATGATCAGAAAACCCACTTCAACTTATCACGGCCTCCACGTTCTCCACCAACCAGCCGAGTAGTTTTGACAATGGATATAATCCAACGGTCATCAGTTAATGACGTTTAGCGGACTCGATCCAACGGACTAAATTTGCTTTTAGAAATGGAAGAACTTTCTCACCGACACGCAAGATTTAAAGTTGCTCGATCGAACGGCGGAAATTCGTTGAAGGGGACTGGAAATTTCCGGTTAAGTGCCGGCGTCGACCGGGAGGACCGGTGGACTTCTCCCAAGTTAGAAACAAAATTGGGTTGCAGGAGAGGGCGAGGAGAAATCTCGTGTTTACCACACGATCCTTCTGATTTTTGCTGCTTAGGCGCGATTGTTCGGCTTCAGAGGTATTGCTCTTCTTGATTTCATGTTTTGGATATCTTCTTATGTTTTTTATAAGAAGAAATCGGTTGTTTCCGTGGAAGAACACTTTTTTCTTTCGTTTGTCTTCGATTTGATTCAGTCATCATCATCATCTTCTTCTCGCTTCTTTGATTCTTTTTGACGGATTTGGTTGTTCAAGGTGTTTCAGTTGGCTAAATTAGCTGAGATTTATGCAGAAAACTGGATTTTTTTTCTAGGGTTTCTTTGGAATTGGGTGCGGTTTGACTTGATGTCGCCGTTTGTTGTAATTGTGCTTGCGGAAGAGATATTATCTTTCTGTCTTTGTTTGGATTATATTGTCTTCTTGTCTATTGTTTTTTTATGTTTTCCCGTGCTGTGGAGAGATTATTTGTTGTTTTAGTTTTTGATGATCTTAGTTCTAGTTTCATTGCTATTTTGGCGGAGGATCAGCTTTGAGGGGGCTTTTTTATTTGTTTCAAGTAGATCGGTTGAGAATGTAGCTTACTGCTTCTGCGTAATTATTGTATACTCTATGTTTCTTTTATTCTATTTATAATTAAAAATTAAGTGAAATGAATGTGGATGCTAGAGCTGGATGATTCATGTATTGTCTTCAGAACAATAGTATATTATATTCTGAATTGTTAACATGAATTTCTGGATCTGATCCCAACGTTATATTTTGGTTGTATTTTCTTGTTTAGAGCTGTTGGATGTATTTTTCCAAAATCCTATTATAGCTGGAGTTATTGGAATGTTTGTGTTGTAGCTGCCTTACTCATGCCTTGTCTTCAGAACAATAATATATTAATATGAATTTTTAATTTGGATTGTTCTATTTCGGTTCTATGTTAATTTTGAGATTTGTTGGATGCATTTGCTCAAATTTTTTAACTGAATTGAATGGAATGTGGATGCTAGAGCTGCATGATTCATGCATTTCTTTCAGAACAATAGCATATTTTTCTGAAAGGGAAAAAAGGGTGATATGTATGATGCATATTGGGTTCATGGAGTCACTAAATTGCGCAGAGGTTAAAACTTTTCCTCTATGCCCATGCTTTGATATTTGTAACTAGATAGATTTATTGATTTGGTTTAGAGGCATTTCCTATGATATTATCATCTGTTGTGTCATCCACGTCATGGTTTTTTTTTTGTTGAATTGATCTGTTTCATTTTTTTATGCTTGCAAGCATTTCTGGAAGATGCGGGTAATGGTAAAACTGCATGTCTACTCTAGTTAAACCAATTGATGCATACTGCTAAAGTTATGACATATTTATTCCAATGAATTAAAAATAAAAATGCTAATTGGCTTTTCTCATGAATTTCCATAAACAAACTTATCAAGTGATGCTTTATTGTTTCACTGTAGCAAATTTATGTTAGTATTGAACTCTATAATATTATTTTATTAAATATCAATAATGTATGTAAAGGTGGAAGTTTATTAATACGCCCAATGACACTTTTAAGAGTTTGTTCAAATGTTCTTATTTTTATGTGTCAACCATCTTCGAGATCAACTACCTTGATCAGTTCCCCATTCCATGTGCCCATATTTTTTTCCTCTTGTTTTTGTCAATGTTCTCTGATAATGTGTTACTTTTTTTGTCTGATTACCGTTTTATGCAGGTTAGTTATTCATTAATCCAATGGACTCTCAGATGGGCAATAACTTTATGGAATCGTTGTGGTCAGCAAATTCCTTTGAGCATCAGGATGTAGAGAGATGCCCATTTTTGAGAAACATTACTGAAGCTACACAATTTTCTTTCTCATCGGTCAATTTCCTTGTACCTGTAAATTCTTCTTTCTCTCTCTTTTTCATAATTATTACAAACAGGTAGAGTTTCTGATGTTTAGATAATCAAGCTACTTCTTTTAACTTTCAGGCTCGAGGAGCCAAGGGTCCCATCTTTGAGGATGGACCGAATTTTGAAATGGCGTTTAGGCTTTTCCATGGCCACGATGGGGTTGTTCCCCTTTCTGGAAGGTCTCTTGTGCGTGATAAGGTTCAAGAATCTGAATCTGAAACTGCACCTGTGTTCAATCCATTGGCAGCCAAAGCTGCTAGCATCAGCCTTTCATCTTTTGGACTTGGTGGACCTTTTGGATTTGATTTCTTTGCCAAAAAATTGAAGAAGCATAACGAGAGATCTTCTAGGAAGGATTCTTCTCAGGTAATTAGCAAAAATCACTCACCTTTACTAACGTTGTCATGAACATAATATTCGATGTGCTTCTTTCTTAATTGAATCTATTTTATGCACTCTTGTTACTGTATAATCAATCCATCAGTATATCGAAATAGAAATGCCTGCTTACGTTTATTAATGTTCAGCAGGCCTGCTTCATAGTGTTACAGGTCTTTTTGATGCACAAGCTTTCCTAAAAGGAGGAAAGATTTCTAATTAAATTGACTTTCATTCTGGTTCCTATTCTGATTGCGTTATAAAAAGTGCCAACTGGAGTAGGTTATATCTGCTTAGAGATATTGCAGTGCAGCCATGAGAGACCTTAATTGGTTTGTATGTATGATTTCTTAGTGAAATATGACTCACTGTCCGCTAGTTGCTGCTCAAACGAGTCCTTATTGATGTAATATCATAAATCTGATCATACTTATTTTCAGTCAGTTTTATGAATGCTCATTCTCCCTTCATTTTGCTTGATGACTGCTGCATGAATAAAAGCGTTATGGATAGGATTGCAAAACAATGAATAGCTTCTAATCCAATGGTTCCTTAAAATTCACGAGGATAAGTGCTATTATTGAACTAGATGAAACAAGCAGCGATGAAATCAAACATTAAGTGTCTAAACTATTAAACAAGTCTGTCCAAGCTATACAATTGTTCTGTGAGACAACGCAAAATGATCGCTTAGCCATCTAGGGACAAAGAATGTTAGGCTTCATTTGGGACGACTTTCTTACTGCTATTTGAAGCAGCTTTCTCGCAGCTTTTTAGTAAAAAATATTTGTACTAGAAAGTTGCTTTAAGAAGCAATAAGAAATCCGTCCCAAACGAAACCTTAGGCTCTCAGTTAGCCGTTACCTTTTATTTTGCATCACATCTATTTGGTAAAATTTTTTGATGATTTACTCTGCAACCCTGACTTCTGCACTTTCTTTTTTCCAGAGGCATGATTCAACTCATGAATCTCAAAGCAATGATTGGTTAGAAACTGGGCAATGCCCAATAGCCAAATCCTACAGAGCTGTAAGCGGCGTTCTTCCTATTGTCGCGAAGGCTCTTCAACCTCCTCCTGGTGTAAAGCTTCGGTGTCCACCGGCCATTGTTGCCGCCCGTGCAGCATTAGCCCGAACCTCTCTTATAAAGAACCTTCGTCCTCAACCCTTACCTGCAAAGGTTCTCGCTATTGGGCTGCTAGGAATGGCAGCTAATGTCCCCCTGGGAGTTTGGAGAGAGCACACCAGAAAATTCTCCCCGCAGTGGTTTGTAGCCGTTCATGCTGCTGTGCCCTTCATTGCTATGCTGAGGAAGTCCGTTTTGATGCCAAAAACTGCAATGGCTTTTACCATTGCTGCATCAATTCTCGGACAGACTATTGGGTCCAGAGCTGAGCGTCTCCGGCTGAAAATGAAAACCGAAGCTGAAGCAGCCGCTGGTCAACTTGTGGTTAGCGTCGAACTGAAGAATGCAGTTTGCTCGGCAAAGACTGGGCATTCTGTCGACGAAGCAGTTTGGGAGGCTCTCCCTCTGAAGAAAGAGAATGCTTGTTCTACTGCTGTGACTCCTGCCGCTAGTCTATGCTATTGATATTGGTGAATTGGATGTCTAGTGTTCTGCAATTCATTATATGCTTATTTTATGTTGAAAGACTATTTAATTTTGGTATCGCAGCTTTGGAAGCTGAGGCTCTCCCCTATGCAGGGGAGAGGTCTACATATGAATAAAGATTTTGGTTTGTATCTGTTATGAAATAGTGGCATGAACGCTTATGTCGCGATCTCTTTGAGGTTTTGTTTTTTGGGTGAAAGGTTTTTATTTTTTATATTGATTTATTAACTTATTTGGAGATGCGAGGCGGGAGAAGGGAAAATTTTCGAACTAAGCAACATTAATAATTAAACTATAAGATTAAGCATGATGCTTAAAAAAATTTAATTATAGGCAAAGTCGGTCGTTTTAAAGGCGACTTAGGTGCGACCAAATGACAACGTGGCAGTTGATGTGGCGAATTGAAGACTTAAGTCTAAGTCGCCCGATTAACGAGCGACTTATAAGTCGCCCAGTAAAGGGGCGACTTAGACTTAAGTAATTTATTCACCTTTCCCTTCCCGATCAGTTATTCTCTCTCTTCGACATTTCGAGATCTGATCGCTGCTCCGCCCCTTCGTCGCCGGATCAGGTAATGTGAGGTTATTTTATGCATTTTTTATGTTAAATTAGTTAGATATATGTTGATTATTGTGTATTTTGTTTAGAGAAGTAAAGATTTATGATTTACAAAGTGGTTTTGTAGGTTTTTTTGTAAAATTCATTGTTTGTGGATTGTATTTGAAGATTTGTTTGTTCTAAGTATAGATTTATGCATTTAGGCTTCGAATGTTTAAAATATATTGTAGATCTGTGATTTAGGGTTTAATTTTTGCTATGCTTAGCTCTCTTTAGCATTAAAAATTTTATATAAAATGAGTAGAAGATATGTGCGGCTTCTATCTAGTTTATCTTTGATATATTCTTATTCTTTTGAATCCTTCAATTTTAAATTTAAATCGCTTGTTGAAATTGCCCTAAACCACCCAAGCTTCTAGCTAGTTTTAATTTTAAATCGCTTATGCTATCATATCTTACACTCATGCGTGATCATAATATTTTTATGTACAACAATTATATATTAAGTTGTGTGGCCAAATGGATTTATTTAATAAAATTATGAGAAAGAGCATTGCTAGGTTGCCTAATTATAATTAAGAAATAATTGATGACTTAATGTGTAAGAGGTAATAAAATTTTTTTACTAAATTTCCCCCTTTAAAATATATATTTTTAGCCTAATATGAATAAAGTAAAATATTTTAATATATTTTAAATCAGAGTATTAAATTTTATTATATATATTTATGAAATCTTATAATAATATGCTGTTTTATAATTTTATATAATTATTTTACTCTTATATACTTTTATGTCAATTTCATTAGAACTATACAATCCACACAATAATATGCTCTTAAATATTCACATTAGACACTATACAATCTATTATATTCATGGTCTAGTAACTCAAGCTAATGACCAACTACACTTACTTTCTCTATTTTTTTTATGAATATAAACATAGATTTAATATTAATATATGAATATACGCAATTTAAAATATAATTGATTTACATATAATTTTTTTATTGCTTTTTAAAACAATTTTTTAATACAAAAAATTTTAATTCAAGAAATATTTGTACTAGAAATATATTTTAGAAAGCAACAAAAAAGTTGACCAATAAAAAAGTTGACCCAAATGAAACCGCAGTCTCCATCAAGTTAAAAAGCATAAAGGATGAGAGCTTAAATCTCAAAGATTTTTTATAAAAGTAAATTCGTTTATAAAGGATTTAGTCACACTTCTTTTAAGATGATGGGTAGTGGAATTAAGTTGGGCTACATGTACAATTCAATAAAAGATATTTTGAATAGAATTTTAGAGAGATTTTGAGATTCCACAAATTCCGGTGGAATCGAGTTTTAGACTTCATTTGGGACGACTTTATTATTATTTTTAAAACAGAGTTTTAGTACAAAAAATAATTTTTTTTGTACTAAAAATTTATTTTAAGAATCAATATAAAAGTGGTCTCAAATGAAGGCTCAGTATAAGATATAAAATTTGTATGATTCATGTCTTATGACGTGTACATTTAACTATTGACTTTTTAGTTATAGATGAGAATCAAAATTGAAGGCACAAAATTAACTATATAGTGTGATTATATGTGAGTATATGATTTGGATTTAATGTAACTAATTATGGAGTAAATGATCCTAGCTTGTACTTGATTGCTACTTCGATCTTAAGCTAAGGGTTAAAGGTGAGTTCTTCTAATAAGAACCTCTAATTGGCTAATGAGTGTTTAGGATTAGTTGAGTACCTTTGTCAAGTAGCCTTAATAAATTGTCAGCTTCCTCATTCATTAGTGATTTTAGTAGTTTAGCACTTATGAGTATCGCAATGAAGTAGAAGTCATGGTTAATTGACATTCAACTCACTTTCTTGAGAGATTTGACTAAAGCCTTCACTATGAGGTCAATAAGTTGAGAATAGAAGTCATTGTGACAAAGGAATTTTTCAGCATTTTTTTGAATGATTTTGTGGGTTCCAAAAATTCGCTCCCTGACCTCCCCTTCCTTTTTGGAAAGTTTTAACGAATTAAGTTTCGGGATAAGTTTTCATAAGGCAGATTGAGTTTGTAGATAAGTCAGTGCCCAGATATTTTGCCATCATTTTGAGAGGACTTTAAATATGAGTTCTGGTTTCCTACAGGCACAAGCCCCTATATTTAATTACCCATCCCAATAACAAGAAAGAACTTTCGATTAGGGCTAGTTGTCAATTAAATATGTAGAGATGTAAGGGAATGAAGAAGAGGACAAATGAAGCAATCACGTGCTGGAGGTAGATAAGCAATGGAGAATTCTGTTGCACTTGCTTTTTGAAGAATGGGTTTCTAGGAGACTCTCACAGCAGCAAACAGGAGGAGGAAGTTTCTGGTTAGGTGGATTGGAAGAGGGGTCTTGGCCGGATTAAGCATCCGGCTCTTGGAGGAGAAATTATTGTGTACGCAATCCGAACGCAGAATTGTGATCGGATGCTGCGTATTTACTGCTTATTTCACTGCGTATTTTTTGATACATTATGTTTTCTACGTATTTTTTTGCGTATTTTTTGTGTATTTAGTGAGTATTATTTATTTACTAATTATTTTCCACGAAAAAATTATGCCTCAAAAAATACGCAATAAAATAAGCAGTGTGTACGCACATCCGAACACGTTCGGATTGCGTACACAATAATTTCTCTTCTTGGAGTGGGGATCAGACAGATCGGTGAGAGATGTGGAGTCGGTTTGGACGTCTCTATATGATCGGACGTGATCGAGCTACAAGATATCTTCACATAAGGTGGAGGTTGGGATGTTAGGGACGCTTGGAGAAAATGAACCGAAGGTTCATTTTGGAGACCATTTGTGGAGGCGTATGTTGAAAAGGACGGACGAATTTGAGTGAATGGATGGCTGGAAAGGGCTATGCGAGGAACAATTATTACGTCCTCTGACCGGACGTAGAGCTACGTTCGGCCGTCAATAACATGTCACCACGTGCTCTTACTCTTTACCGCGCGGCCCGATGACTTGACCCGGACCGGAACCCGGGAATGATATGTTCGAGATTTTCTCGGTATTGCTCGGTATTTGCTCAGTATTGCTTTGCAAAAATGAGAAATACCGCTCTGTGAAGACCAATACCATGCAAATACCGAGTTGTACCGAGTTTTTCTACAACTCAGTACAACTCGGAATTTGCTAGGGATTTGCTCGGTTTTGCTAGGGATTTGCTCGGTATTGCTAGGTATTTGCTCGGTATTGCTAGAAAAAACTTGGTACAACTCGGTATTTGCTTGGTATTGCTAGGTATTTGCTCAGTATTTCTCGATATTGGTTATTGCAGAGCAAAATCGACCAATACCTAGCAATACCGAGCAATCTTGGGTCCGTTCCAGGTCGGGTTGCCGGGGCGCGCGGTAAATAATGAAAATGCGTGGCGCGATTCTACTAGCGGTCGAACGTAGAGTTTCGTACGTTCACCAGACCAAATAAAAGTTCCTATGCTAGGGTTGTCGCCTTGCTAGATGCAGATCGTCTTAAAATTGCCTCAAAATTCATGCTATTTGACTTATTCTTCGTGCCGATTTCACCAAGCAATTTTTATTGTATACAATTATAATCAATTTTGGGTATTGACAACATTCTGAATGCAATGAAGAAGTTTGTTTTGTGATCGAATATCATTTGTGAAATGTCGCGCGTCAATTTTCAAGATTTATGCTGATTTATGCTTTATTGCCGGTTGACCCGCGTTTATTTCATTGTGTGACTTTCATTGACCAAATTAATAGCGTTTTTTTTAGTATTTATGACATTTCAAATGCAACAAAAAAATCTATTTTGTGATCATACAGCATTTGGGCAATATCATGTGCCAATTTTCTTGATTTCCGTATGTTGCCTTGATATACATGTCAATATTCTCGCATGACTTTAATTGCTCAAATTGACTATTACTTGGGTATTGACAACATTGCAAAAGAAATGACAAAGTCTATTTTATGATCGAACGTCATTTGGGGGACTTGTGTGCTAATTTTCTTGGTTTGCACGTTGTCGCCTCGAGATTTATATCGTCGCCTCGGATGACCTCAATTGAATAGATTGACAATGATTTTTGAGTGTCAACGATGTTTTGAATGGAACAAAAAAGTTAGTATTGCAATCAGACATCATTTAGGTGATGTCATGCATCAATTTTGAGTGTTAGTCATCCATTTGGATCGATCTTATCAGATTTGACTACGAGGGATCCCCACTTAGGCAAAGTCTGAAAGTTTGAAAGGTTGTTAGACCTAATACAATTATCCAAATGCTAACAAAGAGGGGGGGGGGATTAATTGGTAATTTAAAAAAAATTTCAAAATTATTTTTCAAACATAAAATTAAAACTTGCAAAAAAATAGAAATGCAATAAAAGTAAAGACAGAAAAACATAAATTTTTTTAATGGTTTGGTTCAACTAGACCTACATGCACTCCCTGAAGACTCCATCTTTAGGTATTACACTATACCAAAGTGACTCTCCTTTTGCTCTCTCAACAAGGCGGAGAAGAACTTACAATAACCTCTCTTCCACTAGCCCCAGTGCGACAGAGTTCCGTCGTCCTTTCTCATCCTCTTGGTGATGATAGAGAACCGGCATCCTTTTACACCCTCCTGATGTCGG